GCTAGGATTACAGGCGTGAGCCACCGCGCCCGGCCAAGGATTTAATATGTAAATTTGGGGGAACACGAACATTTAGACCATAGCACCTAATAAATACCTCCATCTGTCTAGATTAGCTAAACCATCATCTCCTCTGGCCAGCTTTTCCTAACCCTTCTCTTCTCCCTCCGCACTCTCAAGAAGTATCGCTTCCTTCACGTCCCAACTGGGTCCTCTAACCAGTCCCCCCAGGGAAGAGGTTGTGGATGGTGAGTCTATATTTCCTTCTCACCCAGAACAATGTCTGGCATAGAATATGAATCAGATAATTGTGAAACAGGAGTATAAAACAGGACTCTTCAAGCTCCACCTTGAAGAATATGTTCATCGTCTTGATTGTGGCAATGGTTTCACGAGTACATACATATGTCAAAACTTGTCAATTTGTACACTTTATACATGTACAGTTTATCGTATGTCAGTTATACCTCCACAAAGCTGTTTTGTATTTTTTTTTAAGTGGGGAGTGGGCTGTCATGCTGGGGCATCTCCAACCTTGGGGCGGCATCCTCTAGGCACAGCCCTAAGACAAGACCGGACAGGAAAACGTACTGTCATTCTGCTGGGTCTCCGCACTAGGCTGAAGGTTCTCTGAGGTCGGCTTTGGGGGAAACCGCTGGGGTTTGGTCACTGCCCGGACAGCGGCGAGTCTCAGCCGCATGCCGGAATCCTCCCAGAGCTCTTCATGGGTCTAGGGCAGGGCAGGCCTGAGTCCCGGACTGTTCACGCTCCCAGGCGATCCTAGCAGGCAGCGAACCTTGAGAAGCACCGATTCAGATGGCTGGCCCGCTCCGCACCGCCCAGCCCCACGTCGCGTCCCTTTCCACTCCTTGCCCTGAAGGAGTCTAGAACCAACAGTCCATTATGGACAAGAAGCCTGAGTGGGCTCCCAGCCTCTTTATGGAGAAGGCGACCAGGCATCTAGATGGCATCAACACCAAAAGCGCTTGAGACTTCAATCTTTGGGGCGGTTTTGCCCGCAACCACCGTCGCCTTCTGTCCTTGTCCCAGCTGCTAGGCAAAGTCCGCGGCCGGCAGGTGGCGCTGTCTCCCACAGCGCGCAGAAAACTCAACTTCCGGTGGGGCCGCTCTTTTCACAGGCTTGCTTGAAATTGTTGACGTTTAATACACCAATGCTAAATAATGTCTCCCTTGACTTTTCCTTGGTGTCTTCGTTCCTTGCTCTTGTGCCAGGGAAACATGAATGTTACTCAGCTCCTGAGTGGAAATATTTGCATCATCTTTTTACTGGATTGTTGGAGATCATACATTGTCCCCTTTATTGGTCTTATACTACATAAGTATAAGTAATGTTAATGTCATATTAATGGTGCATAGAATCTGGTACAATTGTTTGGATAATAAATGTTTTGTTTAGTGATGATTTTACAAAATTAAAAAGAGCTTAAATCCATTTTCACTGAAAGATTCTTCAGTTAAGGTAATAAAACCAAAATGTCCCCAATGGGAGATTTCTGTCTTTGATCAACTTTTATGAGGTAAGCCAGGTCTGCCTGGGTTCCCTAAGGGTTATTCTCTAAGAAGTTTGGTTTGCCATTAATTGACAATCCACAGTTCAAAAAGCAGAGTTAGAGAATGAGGTTGGGGAGAGCCCTAAGAGGACATAGGGGTGGGCGGTGTTCTCTTCAATCTCTGGGCTGTGAAAGTGGTTCTTTTATTTAAAGACAGAAGCCTGGGGCAAACCATCAAAAGCCTCATAATTTCTGCAGGCCTGGTAACATTTTCTGAGCCCACAATCATGACATGTGGACCAACAGGGAATTCTCTGCTACTTCCAGATGAGAGAACCAATTTGAAAAACAACAACAACAATAATAGTTAATATATTACAGAGCACTCACTATATGGTAGGCATAGTTCTTGTGTGT